AGCAGAAGAAGAAAGTGTAGGATTTGGAAAATGATAACAAGTTCGTATTTTCACGGCGACGATCAAGTTTCTTCGCCGGCGAGGTCAGAGATCGTTCTTCCGGGTCGAATCGAAACCGTTCTGGAGAAAATCTACACCAAACACAAGTGTTCTCCGATAAGTGACGAGTCAAGGCAGAGACTTTCTTTGATTCCAGAGGAACTAGCTTTTGATTTGCTCCGGAGAGGTTATAACTCGCCGGCGGTGATTTACGACCTCGACGGTTGGATCGTGACTAAGATTAACCAAGCCGGTACTGTTACTGGCTCTCCACGGCTGAGCTCCGGTGGTTCTCCGGCCAAGTCTCCGACTTCCTCTGTAAGGGTTTATCAAGGTCAGTTTCAAAAACAGAGCTTTTCATCTATTTGTAAAGATCTTTCCTTTTTAAAGCTMAAAACTTTCTGATATTTACTATGATTGTAGAAGAGATGTCTGTTGATTCTGAAGCACCTTCTCCAAAGTCTTCGATAAGAGAAATCAATGGAGGATCTCTGCACATTCCTCAGCTCTTAGCTTTGGGTGAACTTGAGTTTAAGAAGGCGTTTCTGTTGCTTAGCTATATTCCAGGGTATGTTTGGTGCTGCAAGTTTTCGACTTTTTGTTTGTTTTCAAGTGATTGGTTTTGTGTAACAGTTTACCTTTCTTTGGTGTTATACAGGAATCACCTGAGTAGTGTTACAACTGTAGATGAAATCAGACAGTTGAAGGATTTGCCTATGGTTGCATATGAAGCAGCGGTTTGGGAGCGCTTTGGTCGGCGTTATTGTTCGCCAACAGAACGAAGAGTGGTATGGCTATTTCCTGTTCTGTTTTATTTAGTATTATTCATGTTTCATGWTTGTGAATTGGCAAGGAATAGAGACTTGTTGGATACTGAAGATATGTTTTGTATTGCTGAATAGTGAATACCTCTTGGGATTTTGACTTTGGTATCAAAGTTGTACTAATTGCATTTGGCTTACATTCTTCCTTTTACCTAGTCACTTGGATTGGATAGCGGGAAGACTCATTACTATCAATGTCATGTCGCTTTGGACGGTAGTTACACATTCAAGGTTCATTCCTCTCTTCAACTACGATCTTTCATGTTTGCATTCTTCCCATCTTGCATATGTACTTTGTGTTCAAGAGATACTTCTAGAAGCTGTTGAAACAATTCGTTTGCAAGTCGCTATCATGTGTCTAATATACTGGTACTTATCGACACACTGTTCACAGGGACCTCTTCTTGAACACACTGCAACACACCTGCACAAGGTCTTGGGTGATGAAAATGTTTTGACGGTCAAATTTGCGGATGTCCCCAAAAACTCGTCAACCTATTGTAAGGACCGTGATTTTACATACAAAGAGATTGCCAAGAATGGAATCATGGTTGGTTTACGTCGTTATCAATTTTTTGGTGGGTTGTTTTCCTTTTTCTTCTTGATTATCTACCATTCATGTCATTGCACAGACAACACTTTTCATTGTTAAATACTTTTCATTCTGTTGAACAGTTTTCAAAGATGGAGGGAAAGAAGAGAAAAAGAAAGATTTTTCTACAATGGGAGTGAAATGCTACTTCATACGAACGGACTCTACAATGGCGAATGATATGGGAAATCCCTATATCTTTTCGGGGAAGTCAATCCATGAAGCTCGTATGCATTTTATGCACGTGCATACATTGCCGTCTTTGGCCAACTATATGGCAAGGTACTCACGTTTCTTCTTTAAGTCTCTACTTGAAGCATGCAAAGATGTTTTTATGTAGAGAGATCTTTGAGTCACTTTTTATTTTCTTATGCTTCAGGTTTTCTTTAATTCTGTCAAAGACTAAGAAGCTTGAAATTGACAGGAGGACTGGGATTATCGTCGAGATAATCGATGAAATACACTGCCATGTACTTCCTTAGTTCATGTGTCCTTCTATTGGCCTTTACTTGGTTGTATTCACTGTATGATTTGACCTTTTTTCCCTCTCTTCTGATTGCAGGATCAATATGGTAATGATGTTCTTGATAAGAATGGGAAACCTTGTATACATTCAGATGGCACTGGCTATATCTCCGAGGACCTTGCTCGGTTGTGTCCAGTAAATATATACAAAGGGAAATGTCTCAGAATTGATAATATCCAGGTCATTACTCTTAAGGTTCTCTTTGTTCACTCTTTTTTACTCTAATGTTTCCTCATTATGTTTTTTTTTTACTTATCTTGAATCACAGGAAACCGGTAGCCAAGACCCGGTAAGTATAATATAGTTCCCCCCTGTTTATACTCGATTCTATATCTGTCTATTACTGAACACAAGTACTTTTTCAAACAGCCTCTTCTGATCCAGTTTCGGATGTTTCATTATGGCTATGCTATTAAGGGAACTTTTCTCCTAAACAAGAAAGTAAGTTTGCTCTCTTTCATACTACAATAAAAAAAATTGGATAAAATGTTTGTTATTCCTAATGTTTCTCCCAATTTGGCAGCTTCCTCCTCGGACTGTACAGGTTCGACCTTCTATGATCAAGGTATCTAAAGATTCAGACTTGTCAAATTTTAGCACCTTTAACGCCCTGGAGGTAGTCACTACAAGGTATGTGTTTCTTGGATACTTGTAGTTTTGATACTGAAATTCTCTCGCTCGATGTTCTTAGTGACATCTGGTTTTTTCCAATCATTTAGTAATCCACCAAAAAGAGTAAAGCTATCAAGGAACTTGGTTGCACTGCTTAGCTATGGAGGAATCCCTGATGACTTTTTTCTAGATATATTGCTTAACACGCTGGAAGAGTCGAAAACCATATTCGACAACAAGCGTGCTGCGCTGAAGGGTGCTTAAAATTCCAAAGCTCTCTTTAATCTTGTCCCTAAAACTTCTGAACTTGATAGATCTTTTAAGAAAGCAATTTGTTCGTGCAGCTGCCCTCAATTATGGGGAAATGGACGACCATAACGCTGCAGAAATGATTTTGGTTGGTATCCCACTTGACGAACCACATTTGAAGGATCATCTGTCTACTCTCTTATATACAGAGAAAAATAATCTCAAAGCAGGAAAGCTTCCTGTGAACGAATCATACTATCTGATGGGGACAGTGGATCCCACCGGAGAACTAAAGGAAGATGAAGTTTGTGTGATCCTGTATGCTTCCCAATCTCTTACTCTTTCACTTTTAATTTCACTTGGAAACAGTAATTTGCGTCCTTGGAATTGTGATTGTTAATTTCTTTCTCGTTGTCTTGTAGCGAGTCTGGCCAAATTTCAGGGGATGTACTGGTTTACAGGAATCCTGGACTACATTTTGGAGACATACATGTGCTTAAGGCTACATATGTTAAGACCTTGGAAGAGTATGTCGGAAACTCCAAGTATGCTGTGTTTTTCCCTCAGAAAGGTCCAAGATCTTTGGGCGATGAGATTGCAGGTGGTGACTTTGATGGTGATATGTATTTCATATCCCGAAATCCCGAGGTAATCCACCGCATTTTTTAAGTAAAAATCTTCATTGTTGTGACCTGATTTTATTTGGTTTTCTTTCTGTCTTAGCTACTTGAACACTTCAAGCCAAGTGAACCGTGGGTGAGTTTGAGTCCTCCTAGTAAAAGTAACTCTGCTAGAAAACCAAACCAGTTTTCACCGGAAGAGTTGGAAAAAGAGCTTTTCGATATGTTCTTGAAGACAAGATTTCATGCCAGGTAAATTTCCTTTTTAAGCCCTAGATTCAAAACTGTATCTTGGACCAATCTTTGAGATTAATGTCTCTCTTTTTTCTCGGTTTTACAGTAGTGTTATAGGGATGGCTGCAGATAGCTGGTTAACAGTAATGGACCGCTTCCTCACACTCGGAAATGACAGAGCTGAGGAAAAAGCTGAAATGAAAGAGAAATTGCTAAAGCTGATTGATATATACTATGATGCTCTTGATGCACCAAAGAAAGGGGTTAAGGTCGATCTCCCGGATGAGCTGAGGCCCGACATTTTTCCACATTACATGGAGCGAGATAAACAGTTCAAGTCCACTTCTATTCTTGGATTAATATATGACTTTGTTGAATCACAGACAACAGAGGAACCCTCAACATCAACTGGTAAAGGATATTTCTTGTTAATCAGATCACAAGAAGAAATCGTTAGATCATGGTATGTTTTTTCTAACTGTGGTTTTAATTCAGTGATCGATAAACTCCCGTGTTTCGAAGATGGGCCGGTCTCTGAGTTTCATATGGAGAAATGTAGACAGTGGTATGACGATTACAAGCGTGATATGAGCAAGGCGATGAATACCAATGGGATCAATAAGGATGAATCAGCCAGTGAAGTTATTCAGAGATACAAGCAGGTAAGCTCCTCAATCTGATGCCACCAATAAACTTCATGGACCACACAGATAATTTGTTGATTGGTCCCGCAGGAGTCGATCCAATGCTTAATAAAACAAACAATTCTGAAATGGTTTCTTCTTGCGTGTCAGGAGTTCTATGGTGCCGCAGGGTTTGAAGACAGTAAGAAAAGTCTGGAAGAACTTTATCCACCAGCCTTGGCACTTTACAACGTCGTTTACGATTATGCAATCAACATGAAAAACGTTCGTTATTGCGGGTTTGTATGGAAGGTTGCAGGACCGGTCCTATGCAGATTCTACCATAAGAAAACGCAGGAGAAATCTGTGATGTGTTCGGTCTCTGTGCTTAAAGAGCTTTGGGGTTGAAGAATACAGCAACTTATTCATGTTGTGTTCTGGTAATAAACAATAAGCCTTTTGTTGTCTTCATGTATCATATGAAGCGTGTAAGGCAAGGCAAGAACGTTTTACTCTACTAGGTGTGAATATTTTGCTTATGAAAATAAAAAGTATGTTATGTAATGAAGCTTATATGAAACAAAATAATTCTTAAATTATCACTCTGCTAGACGGCAAGATATATGTATTTTTGTACTTGGAGGAACAGAGGAATCTATGAATTAGGCTGAGGTTTTCGACCTAAAGACTCAGACTTGAAAGCCATTACCTAGCCGTAGTCATGACGCTACATTGGTTTCAATTTATTTATTTTCCCCGTTTTTTTGTGTTTTTTTTCTGTCTGTTATTAAATAAACATTGGATTATATTCATATAGTTTTTTGTATTGGGTTTTGAAAATATTGGATTTGGATCAATTTTAGAATTTATGTAAATTAATTTTTATATAAAATAATAAATTCAGCGTGGCCTAACAAAAATCGTTACAAAATTAGCATAAATATGATTTTTAACATAAGTTATATTTATTTGTGTAGTTGATGTATCTAACATTACATTATATATTTATTGACGTAACTAAACATACATTATTGAGAAATTTCAAAAAATACCATTTTTCAAGTGTCACTTTACAAAAATGCCTCACTTTTGAAATCTTTACAAAAATGCCACTTTTTCATAAAAAAAAATTCTTTATATTATTTATGTTTGGGTTAACTATGTTTTATTAGGGTTTAGTTTTGAGTGTTTAGGGGGTTTTAGGTGTCAAAACATTTTTTTGGGTTTAGAATTTTAAGATATAAGCTTTATAAATCTATAATTAGTGGTATTTTTGTAAATTTGCACACAAAAAATAGCATTTTTGCAATTGCCCCTACATTATTATAGTTCGTATAGCAAATAAAAAAAAATCCATAAGTGAAATGTTGTTTCTCTTTTATTCCGAATTTCAGTTACAAATTTATGACAACCAAAAAATCAATAAACACAGAAAGACAAACTGTAAACTATAGAACACAAAAATCATTTGACAACAAAAAACACGTAATGAGTAATTTAAACTTTTAGCTGAGTAAGAGTCAATTTTATTGAGTTCGTTTATTTGACGAAAACAAATATTGGATCTAATAATTTAGGCCCAATCATTCGTTCCGATTCAATCTAGGGGTGAACCCAATTTTCTATTTTTTATATCAATAACGACAAATACGATACCGTCAAAATGTAACCTAATTATTCTTGACTATTAATGCTCTGCGAAACGATGAAGCCAGAATCAAAGAAAATTTCCGAAAAGAGACAGATTCAGAACAAAGATGATGTTGACTCTTCTTTCGATCTAAGTTTGATCAAAGAGGCTATTGAAAATGTTCCGACAAAGAAGACAAATCCATTCAACCTAACTTCAATGTCTCTTGCAATATCATCAGTGGATCGTCAGTGTAGTAAACGGAGACTTTCAGCGATCAAGAGAGACATCAAATCAAAGGCGGAGAGAGAATCCATGAGGCAGCGATTCCTAACTCTTCTTTTAGTATGCGATAAATATTCATGTAAAAAATAGTTAGGGTTTTATCGTTTTAGGTTCATTACTTTTTATCTGTTTTGATATTAAGGTTTCACAAGGATGCGGCTATTGTTTATCGTTCTTGTCATCATGGTGATTCTTCTGTTTAGGTTAATTTTTTAATGGATCCGGCTTAGTCATGTATCTGA